CTTTCCGTCCCCCAGCATTCTGACTTTGAAATTCTTACTATATTATAAATCCTTCTACAGCGATGTTTCAGTTTTCTCCTCTTCCAATCATATATTACTATTCACACTGTGTATTTTTCTGATTTACCACAATTCTCTTCCTCCTTCTGAGCCATCACCAGTGATAGACACCCCACCACCTCCAGTATGGCTTCTCTTATTATTGCTGTTCCCCCCTTCAAAAGTCCCCATCAAAACCTACCGCATTAAATGGACCGTTGTTCACCTCCACAGCTTCTCTGTAACTGCTTGCTCAGTGTTCACCACACTTCCTGCAAAGTACTTTGGATCACTTTGTTATCTGAAAGTTGCTACAGCTATGTCAATTGCAGATTTTATAGATAGTTCATTCTGCCCATGAAAAACAGCTAAGGTTAAACAACAGGTTCATGGCAGCTAATTCCATTATAACTTAATTAAAAATTGTTTAAATACAAAGGAATGTTTTAATCTGAAAGGTACTCACATGTAGTTTAAGATGCAAATGTTCATTATGCCAGAGCAGATGAATCTATATAAAGCAGCAGTTGAATTCAAATCAATTGAATAGAAACATAGAAGAAAGGAGCAGGAGGAGGCCATTCAGCCCTTCGAGCCTGCTCCGTCATTCTTCACGATCATGGCAGAATAGCCTAATCCTGCTTTCTCCCCATAACCTTTGATCCCATGCACCCCAAGTGCTATATCTAGTCACTTTTTGAATACATTCAATGTTTTGGCATCAACCTGCTTCCTGTGGTAATGAATTCCACAGACTCACCGCTCTCTGGGTGAAGAAATTTCTCCTCATCTCCATTCTAAATTGTCTACCCCAAATCCGCATACTGTGACCCGTGGTTCTGTACACACCCACAGTTGGGAACATCGTCCCTGCATCTACCCTGTCCAGTCAGGAGGATTGTATGCAGTCAACACAGATTGCTGGTGTTACAAAAAGGTGCGAAGGTTTGAAATGGTTACTGCAAATATGTGGCTTAAACACCAACCATTACGATAGTGTCACATGGTCTTGTGGGCAGAACAACTTAACATCTCAGAGGAGTGAGACCTAACATCCAGGTCCTCCTTATTGTCAGTGTTATGTTGTTATGTATCAATGTGGTCCTTAACTCATCGCTAACATGCAACCAGGTTGTACCTACCATCAGTGTCAACCTATCACCACCATTCCGCTACCACCCCTCTGCCCCTCTCTTTATCTGCACCTCCTGTTACCTCCACATCCAGTCCTGAAGAAGGCTAATATCCAAAACATTGACAGCTCCTTTCGTACAGACAATGCTTGGTCTGCTGTGTTCTTCCAGCCTCCCGTTTGTCTACCTTGGATTCCAGCATCTGCAGGTTTTTTTGTCTCTAAACAACTTGAATCTTTCATTGAGGAAGTGTCACTCCACCTGAAACATTAACTGTGATTTCTCTCCACAGATGCTGCCAGAAGTGCTGAGCTTTTCCGGCAATTTCTATTTCTGTCTTTGGATTCTTAACTTACAGTTTTAACAGAGTTCAGAAAAGGCACAGATTGATCAATCCACCCACGGGAGGTGAGTTGATCAATGAGTTAATGAATTTTCATGTTTTCAATTTATTAATGATTCTACTTTTAACTTAATTCAACTGGCTTTTCTATCTCAAGAAGCCCATTAGAGACACGAAGGGCTGATTTTTCTTTTGTTCCTTCACAGGCTGTTGGTGCCACTGGCTAGGCCAGCAGAGACAGCTAAGAGTCAATCACATTGCTGTTGGCCTGGGGTCCTTTGTTGGCCAAACCAGAAAATGACAGCAGTTTCATTAGAGATAGTAGGAACTGCAGATGCTGGAGAGTCCGAGACAACAAGGTGTAGAGCTGGTTGAACGCAGCAGGCCGAGGAGCAGGAAGGCTGATGTTTCGGGCCTAGACCCTTCTTCAGAAATGGGGGAGAGGAAGGGGGTTCTGAAATAAATAGGGAGAGGGGGAGGCGGATAGAAGATGGATAGAGGAGAGGATAGGTGGAGAGGTGACAGACAGGTCGAAGAGGTGGGATTTTTCCAACCATCTGCAATGGTTTCATTGTCATCATCAGATTCATAATTCCAAATTTGGTGGAATCATAATCCATGAGCCAAATGCCTTTACAGCACTGCTTGTGGACCATGAGGAGGAGAGATGCCTCTCTCTGAGCCAACAATGCACACCATTCCACCTCCCATATCTATCATTCAAGCACTCTCCTCTCATCGGATACCTACCACTACGTAATCAGACTCCCTCCACAATCCAGCCACCACCACCCACCATCCCCAGGAGTCTCCCATACTCCACTTGTTTGCTACGCAGCTTAGTTGTGATTTGTGCTATAAGCTTCTTGCCTGAAAGACCTTCAGCCTATCAATCAGAATGGCTTTGGGTGGGGAACTAATAGAAAAAAAATCATTGACTGTCAGGAACACATTCTTCAAAACAGATTCCATCTAAGTGTTTGAGATAACAAGGTGTAGAGCTGGATGAACACAGCAGGCCAAGCAGCATCA